AGGGGTTCCTCCATCGAGGACTCTAGCTCTGTCCAAATACTGCGCGCCTATTTGAAGGCGGTATGCAGAGCGCCCATATACCGATTTTCGACTCGTTCGCGCCTTGGAGTCGCACAACCTCGGCCTCGACCTTCATACCGCTACTTTCACCTCCTTCTCTTTCTACGACCACTCGCTGAGACCTGAGACAACTTGATGGAACCTATGCAGGGGCCTCAAACAGATAATCCGCTCTCATATCCCGTCGCATCGAGCTCGAAGGACTCTACGCCACCTCCTCCGCCTCCGCGAGCAAGGCAACTCCTGAAGGATCGACTCTACGTCGGGAATCTGGCACATTCTGCGGACGAGTGTGTTCCTCCCCGTTCTGCATTCAGAATCGTCGCTGATCCACTCACAGGTACACGTTGCTCCAAGTGTTCTCAAAGTATGGCAAGATTTCCAAGCTGGACTTTCTATTCCACAAGACAGGACCCCTGAAGGGCAAGCCACGGGGATATGCATTCGTAGAGTATGCAGACGAAAACGTAAGTGCTCATACTTCCTTGGGGCTCCTTCTCCTGCTCATCCCGGGTTCTCCTCCTCATGTCCCATGCCCCCTCCAACCCTACCACGCACCGTTCGCCCCATACCCCATACACAGTCCGGGATCTGAGAGGCCGCCGAGGCCTGCAGCATGCTCAGTTGAACCCATCTCTGACGCCTCTATCTTCAGGATGCAGCGAAGGCACTCGTCTCCGCGCATGACAAGCTGCTGCGTGGTCGGAAGCTGGTGGTGACCTATGCTCAGCAGGCACCAATAGACCCACTCACGGGCTCCCAATTGCGGAACAAGCGGCATATGAGCGATATTGGCAAGCCGACTACGTTGAGTTTGATTAAGAGTGTCAATGCTGGCCGGTCGGAAGCGTGCGTCCTGTGCAGTTCATCTAAAGTTCCTCTGCTGATGTGTCATTCCTTTAGTACGCAAGATAAAATTGCAAAGATGGAAGCGAAGCTCCGTCAGATGGAGCAGTCGTCGTCGTCTGCCGTGCCATCGCCTCCTCTGCATCCCTCTCTACCGCCGAAGCCCATGGGGGCCGCATTGGCGACGACACTTGCGTCTTCGAGCCACTCTGCGCAGCACATCAACGTGAAGAAGTCGAGTGCGCTACCTGCCCTGCCCCTCGCTGCGCCCACACCTGCCCCTCGAGCACCCCCTGTCGCATCTGCAAGGACGGTGCTCGTCTCGCTGGCCCCGCCGGCTCGGAAAGCGACCTCTGCGCTAACAGGGGTCAAAATTAAGAAGCACAAAGAGACATCTTAGAAACGACTAGAGGTTTATATACTGTATGTTTGACTAATTCGTGTTGTATTCCTACTCGAAGGCATAGTATGGCAGCTGCACATCAGTGATTCGCATTCGAGAGAGATCTGACAGCTCCACCGCATACTTAGTCGTACAAGCTTCGATTTTCCAGACAAACGTGCGGCGTGAGTTAGAACCAAACCTGTAGTAAAAACCTATAGGGTAGCTATAAAGCTACTTCAGCCTACTTGGAAAAGTGGGAATGCAAATTTGGGCCTTGCTACCAATTGGCAATGAAACTTGACAACTCGACAAGAAACTTGGAGTTGGCAGCAAAATAAGGCTCCAACCGTTTAGTTTACGTGTAAACTTTTTTGTAAACACACAGTAAACGGTTGTAAATGTTTATAAACAGTTTATAAACAGTAAACAAACAGTTATTACAGGGATCTAACCCACTCTAGTGGATTGCGCCAGATTAGCCTCTGAGAAACCTGTGTGAGCCTACTGCTCTACTTGAGCCTGAAAAGATAGGTACAAATGTCAGTGCTTGAGCAACGCAAGGCACTTGCTTGATGCGCAAGAGAAAAGCGAGGCTGCAGCTTCCTACTTACAATATTGATGTCCCAAACACTAGGCCCGACTCGGACGTGTATAGATAGTGCACCTACTCATGCGTACAGGGAAGGAGCAATGCGTGCATCACATCCCGAGCACGGACCGGCCATCAGGCAGCATCTGAACACTCCGTACCTCAAGCATCGTGCTATGGTCATCCCTATGGCCCGCTGGTGTCCCCTACGCATAGTACGCAGATTGCGGGCACACGAATAGTCTCGATCGGCCAGTGGAGGTTGCGGGAGGACAAACACTGGCAATCACAAGCTGCAGGAGCGGTATTGCCAGGCAGCACTGTACTGCGAGGGTAAGACCTATGAAGGTATCCGTGGGGCTTGTAAGAAGCTTGCGGTCTGCCTTTAGAAGGTTGGCATGTCCTATCATTGACCTCGTC